CACACACACACACACACACACACACACACACACACACACAGACACACACAGAGTTGACCCAGACCATCTGGTCCTGATTGTGGTGAGATGATTGAGATATTTGTCGTAGTTCGTTTGCGGGGGTGTAGTAGTGGTGACTGGACATTCTAACACACACATACTTACACACACATGCACGTACACATGCACACATGTTGTAGATGCATTTACTCACACACTCACTCCCTCATTCATGTACAAACACAGAGCTGTGGCCCTTCTGTCAGTGTTGGGGTTCAAACACACATCAGACTGTGACATGTAGGTTAGTGACACACGCACACACACACACACACACACACACACACACACACACACACACACACACACAGAAACACACAAAGCTGTGACATACATGAAACTGTTCTAATCTTTTGTTGCCATGTGATTTCACAGTCATTCGCTTCGTTACTGCTTTTCCACTTTCAGCCTCTTAAAATGAAATTTTCGGTGCAAAAATGAAAACTCATCAGTTTTAGATAATTCAAACTTCTTCAAATGACAACGACGAGCTCCAGTTGACGGTGGAATGTCGACCGACTGACGGAAATATCTAAATCTCCATTGATTAATGTGAAGTTTCGCTCTGGAGATTTTTACAGGATATCATTGGTTGTTCAGAGTAAGAATGTGACACGGCCACAGACTTCAGAATAAACGAGTCTGTGGAGATTACTGGGTCAGATTCTGAGATCTGGTCTAACGCTACTTTTTTTTCAGAGTTTCTTCAGAATGCTAAAACAGAGCGGTTTAAACGATGCTGTTTTAATTTGAAAGCTCTGGGGCTGCGTTTCGGTGACGATTCCCATCACGTGACATGTGATTTATATGTAGTAGTAAGGATGGAGCCTAAACTATCTGTCCATGTGCCACAGTCAGTAATGATAAGAAACACTAGACGCAGTAGTTTCATTCTGATGGACATATTCTCAAATTAATCTAGTTTTGATCTCTTGGTTTCTTTAAATCAAACATTGGACAAATCAGTTGATCATCCACTTGCCAGGAAGGAGGTCTAATTCGATCCTGGTTTTACTAGAAGCCATTTTGTTTGTGTTTGGCCCACGTCTGACGCAGAGTCCTCATGTTGGCATCCACTGGGAACAAGGTTTTTAAAAAAAACAGCTCTAACTTGGTTCTTCTCAGCTGTTTTCCCACTCCTACCTCCTTCATAAATTTAGCTTTCCCATAGAAAGCATTAAAAACACTGAAGGAGAGAAAACTGGAAGTTAATATTCCATCTGGTTCTGGTTTAATTCTCTGTCGTACATAATAAACAAAACTCTGGACGGGAAGTTAGTCGGATATTTAAACATTCGCAGTGTGAATGGTTTGAATCCACCTGACCACTCGAAATTATTTAAGTAATTTGAACTAATTAGAAACATGTTTTGTTTAAAAAGGTCTAAATCTCAGCCTGAATATTGTCACACTTAATACAATCATGTCATTCCCACTTTCCTTCAGAGGGATTTCTGCAGGCGTCCAACATAAACACAAAACACGTTGCTGAACAGGACGAAAGTGAATCGTCCCGTGGAGATTTTTCCGTTGCTCATTCTGCACGGTACCAAAACAAACAACTGTGACATCCACGCAGGATTTAGACGACACCAGAGCGACCGGGACACTCGACTGATACAAGACGACTGGCCGTGGGTTCCACCAGATCACGTGCAGCTCAAGACAAATTCATACATGAAGAAGTGATGGGACGGTGAGGAGGGTGATGGAGAGAGAGGGAGGAAAAACAGAACATGTAGTGCAGCGGTGTTCGGACGGAAAGCCCGAGGCTGTGGGCTCCAAAACATCTGGACGCTGTGATTCTTAGAGACGCGATGAAGTTATATAAGAAGCTCTGCGAGTCACCCAGTGTGTCACCATGAGTTTGGTGACACACTGGGTGAGTTTGAAAAAATCTAAATACACGTTTAAATACATATTTCCAAAGATGGTTTCTGTCATTTCACATTCATATATTTTCAAGTGTTCATGTTTCTGATGAGTTTGGTTTTACTTAGTTATTTCGATGGTATAAAAACGGGCTGAGACGTCATTGATTGACAGCTGAGACTGACTCGTGATCGGGCGAGCTCCATCCCCAGATCACTACGGCGTCGACTCTGGCTCTAGAGAGAGAATGAATGGACGGTTGAGAGTAACACCAGAAGACGGCACTAAATAAAAAGGTCAGAGGATCATCATGTGTCTGCAGACGGTGAGGATGTTCACAAAGCTGATGTGGAAAAAGTGCATGAACTTAGAAATGTGTTTACATGACTTGATCCTGCATCGCACTCTTATCAGAGGATGGACATGTGGTTGGCAGGGGCAGTTTTGCTCGAGTTATTTTAGGGGGAAACAAAAGTAAAAAGCCAAGAACATGTTTGTGGTGTGTTGAGTTCAGTCTCAGATCCTCCGTCAGTGCTTCAGTTTACCAGCTCAGGTCCGACACACTTCTGCACTTGTTACCCCAGATCCATATCGGTGCTACTTGCCTGTGCGTCACTCATGTTATCGGAGGCACACACACACACACACACACACATCCTCTGTGAAGTCACCCAAAGGGCCAGATCATAGTGAAGCCAACATGTGGTTTGAGTTAACATCTCAGAAACAAGCTCTCCATACTGGAGTTGCCTGTGTATTTCCAGAGTTTGTGTGTGTGTGTGTGTGTGTGTGTGTGT